AGCATTGCTGGGGGGGGGGGTCCGAGGTTAGGCAGCAAGCACTCTGTACACCCGGAACATTCTGAATCCGAGGGGAGGGACTTATCCCACAGTTTAAGTGGGTGTAGCAGTGGCTGAAGAGTCAAGTTGAGTCTTTCCGCTCATGTTCCTCCCTGGCCAGTTCCGGAAGCTGGGGGCCCCTCCCCGGGAAGAGATTGTGGACGAGGTGGACGAGGACGAGCTGGACCTGCAGCACTCAGGCTCCTGCTTTGACAGCAGCACCGCCTCGGCCTGGAGCGAGCGCAGCCTGGACCCCAGCGACATCCGGGTGCGTGCCGGCCGTCCAGCCCCCTTTGGGTGTGAGCCTTTTGGACTGGCAGAGGGAGCACTGTGGCCCTCCACCTGGGTGGGGTTCCACGGTCCTCCCCTCCTGGGCCTCCCCTTCCTCTCTGCACTTTACACTGCCTCTCCTGACTGGGTTTCGGGAGGTCACATACACCACTCCAGGGAGAAGGCCCCAGAAGATCCAGGCTACCCCGTGTGACAGGTGTCCGCCACACCTGCTCAGCAGGGGCATCACAGGCTGGGTGGGGGGCAGGCCAGAAAACCTCCCCAGTCCCCAGAAAACGTACACAGTTGGCCACCCTAGGAGCAAGCAGCGGGGCAGTGAGTGGTCACCAGGGATTTCCACGCCTGTATTTCCTTCCCCTGGCCCCGGAAGTTCTTAGAGAAAGGAAATACTTTACGAGTGTTATGTCCCCAAAGCACCCTTACTCTTATTTTCCTGCTCAAGGGGATCATTAGAGTCACAGGGGCCCTGATGAGCAGTCCAGGGGGTAGGAGAAGATGTGGAGCGCTGAGCCCCTGGTTTTATGAGGTTCAAGGAGCAGTAACAATCTCCAGAAGCCATTTTGCCCATCCCCACACCTCCACTGGGCTCACCTCTACACCCACCTTATTTACAGCCTCACCAGAGCCGGTCCCTGAGGCCCTTTAATTTCTTGTCCCCAAAGCCTCTGCCTCTTTCCCTTTTGCATCAGCTACCTTCTGCCCCCAGGGCATTGCTGAGCAGCCAACCCAGCAAGGAGCCACCCACACCACCACTCACCCTGAGCCCTCCACTTTCTAGGGCAGCGGCCAATCCACCTGCCCCTCCCCATAGGCCAGCTCTGGGGAGAAACACACACTCTAAAACAGGAGAGGTTTGCAAAGCCCCATCCCATGGCTCCACTTGACTAGGACCCCTAGTTCTTCATGTGGTATCACTATCGTCTAGGAGCCCTGGTGGCCGAATGGGCTGTGAATTGGGTTGCTAACCTCCAGATGAGCAGTTCAAAGCCACCAGCAGCTCCCGGGGAGAAAGATGAGGCTCTCACTAGCCTAGAGTGACATGGTAGCTTTCCTGTCTCTTATGCTGGGGTTTTACCACCAGGTCACTGTGCTCCAGGGACCATGTGGGTCTAGGGACCATGAGATGAATTCAGATAGAATTTTAGAAGCGGCAAAGGGATACAGCTGGGTATAAAAGAGATCTAAGATAAAGAACAACTCGGCCAGGACATGGGGAGAGGCCGCCCTTTCTTCCTCACCATCAACTCTGCCCTCCCCCCAGGATGAACTGAAGAAGCTCTATGTTCAGCTAGAGGTCCAGAAGACCAAGGACATGGCTGTCAACAATCCCCACCTGCCCAAGAAGAGGGGCAGCGCCCGCCAGGGGCTGGGCCGCTCCTTCCTGCACTACCTGGCCGAGTTCCCTGAGGCCCTGACACGCCAGCAGTCCAGGGACTCGGGCTCTCCCAGCCGAGGCAGCCTGCCCGGTTCTCCCCACCGCCGCCTCCTCAGCTCCAGCCTCCAGGAGCCCAGGGGCCCCCAAGCCCTGCGCAAGTCCCACGGCACCTACGACTCCCACAGGGATCAGGACCCGCCTCTCCTCAACTCACTGCTGCGGAGAAAGCTGGCCAAGAAGGCCTCACGGGCCGAGAGCCGGGAGTCAGCACAGGGCCCCCCAGTCCTGGGCTTCAGGTCTGCCAGTGCCCACAACCTGGCCGTCGGGGAGAGGCTCCCCCAAGCTCGGCCCACCGCCCTGCACAAGTCTCTCAGTGTTGCCGCTGACTCCAGGGACAAGGCCCTGCTCCTGGCCAGTCAAGCCTGCCTGGAGGAGACCTATCGGCAGGCCAAGGAGCGGGAGGAGCGGAAGGAGGCAGAGGTGGCCATGGGCAGCCCTGGGCAGAGGCTGTCCACCAGGAGGCTGGCGCAAGCTTGGGGTGCCGCCCTGTCAGCGCCTGCTTCCCCTGCCAAGAGCAGCAGCCTGGGCAGCCCTTATGCCTCCAGGCAGCTTCAAGAGGAGGCTGGGAGCCGGCTGCCTCAATCACCTATCAGGCACCAGGTCTCCACACCCGTCTTGACCTTGTCTAGGGTCTGGGTGGGAGAGCCCAGGATGCTGTCCCCCACCACCACCTTGGCTCCAGGTCTGATGCCAGCTCCTCTCCTGACACCTGTCCCAACCCCGCCTCAGAGCCCCAGCTTGCTCAGCTACATCTGCCCCTGGGAGCATGCAGAACTGCCAGTCAGAAAAGAAAATGTGACCCCAGCCAGCCTCTCAGGCCCCGAGCGAGATGGCCACTCCTCTGTCCCTGCCCGGCCCCGAATCTGGAGGGCCCTCTCGGTGGCCACAGAGAAGACGGGGGCTGGAGAGACTGTAACGGACACAGAGGACGGGGGCCCCCAGAGAGAAGCTCAGGACACGGAAGAGGACCGGCCCAAGATTGCCAAGTCTCACAGCCTCAGGGCGCCTGCTCAGCAGGGCACTGTGCGCAGCCTGGGCCTGGCCATCAAAGCGCTGACTCGTTCTTGGAGCACATATCGAGAGAAGGAGAGCCGGGGGGAGAGTCCCGAGACAGGGGAGGAAGGCAGAGCTCCGGGCGAAGGGGTGGGGGTGTCCCCGAGGTCTCCCAGGGTAGGTCAGTCCAAGGCGGTGAGCAAGCAGGCCACCCTGGACCCTTGCGATGATGAATCCTTCCAGAACCAACAGAATGCCCACACCAGCAGGATGCTCCACGTCTGTCGCCAGGAGGGTGGTCGGGAACAAGAGGACCGAGGGTGCAGGCCATCCCAGGGCCTGGGGGAGGGGGCAGTGGAGAAGGCAGGCAAAGCAGGGCCGACCACACTGAGACCAGGCAGGCAGGGCACGCTTGGGGACAGGAATACTGAGAGAGCCAAAGAAGCCCTTGGAGGGTGTCGGGAATGGCTGCCACCAGTTGGCCTCCAGCCCCCAGGCAGTGCTCACAGGGTGCCAGAGGTGTGCCCCTGGGAAGTCACCAGGTCAGAAATGTGTCCCCCTGACAGGAGCTGCAGGGATGAAATCTGCCCCTGGGAGGCAGGTGAAGGAAGCCCCGAGGGGAGCATGCTGGGGGAGAATCTAAGAGACAGCGCCCCAGAAAAGAGAGGGAGAGCCGGAGAAAAACCAGAGGCCAAAGACGGGGCAGCCAGTGCTCGGAAGAAGCCAGAGAGGCTGGTAAGGGGGCAGGTGGCAATATGCCCCTGGGAGGGGACTGATCCTGAGGGACTGTCTGCTCTGCCAGCCCCTCAGGACACTGAACTAGCTAAGGGCCGGGCTGATGGAGTGCCTGTGGGTCGGAGGGGAGCTGCTGGCCCAGCCCATACAGCCGCCAAGGCAGAGCTCTGTCCCTGGGAGGCCCATGAAAGAGGGGAGTGTGGAAAACCAGCGCAGCAGGCCATGCAGGAGAAAACCCCCAAGAAAGCCAGCTTTCAGAAAGAACAGAAGCTGGGGGGAGACTGGGAGTCTCTATGTCCGTGGGAGAGTACAGATTTTCGGGGTCCCTCAGGGGTCTCAACCCACGCCTCGGGAACCCCGGAGTGCCCAGGGAGCCTGGGCAGGGACCTCATCGCTGAGGCGTGCCCTGGGGAGGCAGGAGATGCTCCGGCTCTCAGAACAGCAGGGCTCTGTTCCCCGGAGCTGGAGGCAGAGGTGCCTGGGGAAGCAGCAGCGAGCAGGGGCACATGCAAAGGTGCTGGTGAGGCGCAGGGATGTGCTGCGGAAACAGTACAGCCGTGGAGTCAACAGGGGTCAGCCTGTCCAGGGGAGAGCACAGTCCTCAGGCATGCCAGTCCACGGGTGGACAAGGCCTCACCCAAAGCAGAGGGTCAGCTCTCCATCACCAGAGGAAGCCAAGCAGCACAGGTGTGTCCCTGGGAAGATGGCAAGCCAGAAGGAACAGAAGCCACCCCTGACAAAGCCGAAATCTGTCCCTGGGAGGTAAACGATAGCACCGCAGAGGACAGGCCACCAGGCCAGGCTCCAAAAGGAGCTGGACCTCAGAAGGACCAGGAGGTAAGGGCTGGACCACCAGGACTCAGAGATGCAGACATCCCAGCTTGGGAAGAGCAGGAGGGGCAGATCCCAGAGCAGGAAGCAGTGTGTTCCCAGGAGAGGGTAGACCCTGGAAGTCTCCCCCCACAGCCAGGCTCTCAAGACACAGACAGACCCCAAGCCAGCTTTGAGTCGCCAGGCAGTGGGGGCAACAGAACCGCAGAGATCTGCCCATGGGATGCAGTGGAGACCCTGACTCCGGAGGAGACCCTGACTCCAGAGGAAATGGGCTTTGGTCCCCAGAGGCTAAGTGCTGGAACAGCACAGGGAAGAGCCAGGGATGCTCCGGCCATTGGGAAATTCCCGAAAGACACAGAAGAGGCTTCTGGAGATGCTGAGCCCAGTGGGACAACAGTAATGGCCCCAATGAAGCCAGAGGGGTCAGCTCGAGGACAGGACGTAGCCTGCCTCAGGGTCAGTTTGGATCCAGGGGATTCCTCTCAGCATTCACATGCTCGGGACAGTGATCGAGCAAAAGCGGGGTCCCAGGACCCAGAGAGTGAAGGGGGCACATCCACAGAGGTGTATTCCCAGGAAGTGAAGGCTGAGGAGGTCTGTCCTTGGGAAGGGAATGAAGGAGCGACTGAGAAGGGTGTAGAACAGGACACGGGGCGGGAGTCAGCAGGGCCGAGGGAGAAAACTCTAGAAAAAGGGAGACCCACCTCTCAGGGAGAAGACCTGTCAAAAAGGGCTTCAACACAGAGCCAGGAGCGGGAAGCTGTTTGTCCTTGGGAGAACCTGGACTGGGGGGCACCCTCTGCTCCGGCCTCCAGGGTCTCCGGCTTACCCAGCGACGTGGCAGAGGGGCATTTCCGGGGAGTGAGTGACGAGAAAGCAGAGGCAGGGCGTCTGGGGCAAGCCCCGACAAGGGGCCCCCTTCCAGAATGCATGCTAACAGGAGAGCGTGCTGCCGGCCTGAATGCAGGACTCACCACTGAAGGTGCGGGAACCGCAAACTGGGGGCTACGGTCTGTCTGCCCATGGGAGGGCATGGCTCCAGGGGACTTTTTCTCCCACCCAGACACTGAGGGCACTGGCCGGTGGATGGGGGGCAGAAGGGCTGAGGTGTGCCCGTGGGATACCCCCCACCCAAATGCAGAGAGGCCTGGCAGCAGAGCCCAGGCAGAGATCTGTCCCTGGGAGGGGCTTGAACAAATCCCTGAGAAAGGGGTGTCAAGACCGGATGAGAAAGGGGAATTCCAGGAGAAGGGGAAAACCCCTGAAAAATCGGAGCCCCCAGGTGGGCCAGCTCAGAAAGAGCCCAAGAAGGTCGAGGGAAGGCAGGAAGCTTTCTGTCCCTTGGAGAGCCCACATGGTGGGGGTCCGTCTCCACAAGGAGCCTCACAAGCTTCTGTACGAGGCCAAGGCAGCTTGGAGGCTGTGGGCCGTGTGGGGGCCAGGGTAGCAGATGTGTGTCCGTGGGAAGCAGAAGAGCCCCCCTCTGCCAAAAGAGCAGAGATCTGCCCCTGGGAGACGGACAGAGGAGCAGCAAAGGAAAGGGGACCAGAGGCGGAGGTGGACAGAGACACACAAGGGCAGGGAGCCGTGCTCCTTCCCTGGGCTGGCTCTGGAGGGGCTGGAGAGCGCTCTACACAACCCCACCGAGAGCAGGAGACAGTGTGCCCCGGGAAAAGCACAAGTTCAGTGGGGCTCTCCCTCCAGCCTGGTGCTCTGGACACCGACCAACCCACAGCCAGTCCTCATGAAGCAAGCAGTCTGGGGAGCAGGATAGTAGAACTGTGTCGATGGGAAGTCACAGACCCAGAAGGAAACAAAATAAAGGGCACCATGGCAGACATTTGTCCCTGGGAGGGAGCCGGGGCCCCATCTGAGGAACCTGGTCTCTTGGCTCTAACAGCAACTCAGAGAGAAATGTTCCTTCCCACGGCCCATGAGAAATCACCATGCCTTTCAGTGCAGAGACCTCTGGGAAGCTCCCTTCCAGATAGCAAAAGCCCGCGACCTGTGGTGAGCAGGCCGGACCATGCTCTCGTACTGGAAGGTGTTAGAAAACGCCAAGGACCCTCAGAGCTTGGACCAGAAACCAGCTTAGCCCCAGAGCCAAGTCTCCCAGAAGCCGTGGCTCAGAGGTATTCCTCCTTAAGTGAAGATCAAGCAGCAGCTATCTCTACATCTCAAGATAAAGAACTCACCCTTCCAAATGTCTATCCTTGGGACAGGGAGTAACAGCTTCATCAGGTGAGACCGAGCACAGAGCTAGCTTTCGAGAATGAAGGTCCCTCCCAAGTGCTAGGTGTTCCCATAGAGCGAGAGCCAAAGTGCTCGGTCACATCCCCTTCCCAGCAAGGCCAGAAGTCAACTCATTCCAAACCAAACTGTACAAGGAGGTTGCAGCTTGAACCCCAACAGGAAATGCCCCCCCATCTTTGACTTTTCTTGTTCCATGGGACCGATGGAGGCCCCCTGCGTTTAAGTAATCCTCCCACCCAATTAAGAGTACTCAACACTAGCTAGCCATCTGAGTTTGAATGCTCAATTGTCAGCGTTAAGAATGAAAAGGAGTCAGGGCCCAGTCCATGTCTCATAGGGAGACGCCATCCTTCTATGAAGGGGTGTTTTTCTAGAGGAAACACTAAGCTATGCAAGGCATGGGCAGGGACTGTGGACCAGGGCACACTCCTGACCCGCTGTGATGACTGTGGGGCAGCTGCTTAACTAACGCCTTCAGGACTGGGTCACTTGGGATCTGTTTTATTGACTCTCAAACCTGCCCTGCTTCACTGCTTAAAAGTAGATCCTCAGCCTCTCTTGCGATCACACCTGCTATCCAGAGACCCCAGAGGAGAACACGGAAGAACAAGTGGTTTCTCCAGGTCCCCCTTCCCTGGCCAAAGCACAGTGCTTCCTCCAAGCCTTCTCTCGTGGCACCCACAGGACTTGCCATTTGCTGGCTTTCCCCCTCTCCCCTCCCATCTCCTGCCAATCTCCACTCAGCCCATTTCATTGTTTAGTCTCCTCCCCCCAGTCTCTCAGTGCTGTCATCAAAGGGAACCCCCTCTCTGCTGCCCATGCAACTGGAGGCCAAGGAGTTCCCTGGTCCCACCCATGTGAGACCGCTCTAAATCACTTGCTCTCTAACAAGAGCCCCCACTCATGGTCTCCCTCCGAGAAAGAAAGGTGGTCTGTTTATAGCCAGCACGCCTGCCCTCAGAGAGCGTGCCCTGCCGAGGGGCAGGTTAGAGGCCTGGGAGCCAGGATAAGGGCCATCATGCAAATACAGAGCCTTCTTTCTTAGGAAGCGTCCAGCTCAGCTCTCTTTCAACAGTCAAGCTGCCCTTGCCTAAGGAGTGCTCAGTGAGTGCTGGGAGTAGAAGCCACTGCCAGGGCAAAGCAGGGAAGGAGGAAACTACTGGTACGAAGAAGTCAACGCTGGAAGGTAAATCTGGCAGAGCTGGGCAGGGGCACTAAAAGGGGCAGCAAGTGCTCCCGCCTCTACAGATACATCCTTCCATGGTTGAGAAAGGAGACCAAACACCCACAGGGAAAAGCCAGGTAGGCAGGGCAATACTTCGGGCAGTTACAGAGGTAACGTGCTCAAACTCCGAAAAGGAGTTGCAGAAGGAACCCAGGAGCCCGCCCACCCACTCTTTCTGGAGCCAGATGCCCTATCCTCACCCCTAGGCCTTCCCATGTACCCTGGCCCTCAGCTCTCAGACCGTGCCGTCCAATCATTGCTTTGGCTTCTGGAAAATTAACCCCACGCCTTCTGAGTCAATCTACATTTTGCTGCCTTCGCCAGTACAATCCCATTGGGTCTGGTTTGGTGAACAGCATCATCGCCCCTACACCCACTCATTAGATAAAACATGGGGGGGCGGGGAATAAAGAATGTTTGTTCTTGGTCAGTGTAGTCGGTTCCAGCTTATTGATGGCGAGTCTCTCTGTGGAAGTCTTTAAATAAGAAAGGGGGACAGGTCAGGGAAGCAAACTGCCCGCTCCAAGGTCCAAAGTGACAACTGTGCAGCCTTCAGGTGGCCTGTCCAGCTCTCGGCCACGGCTGGCTCTGGGGCTGACACTATAGATGCTTTCCCGTGCTTCCGAAGGCCAATCCTCACCAGCTGGGGCCATTTGTGCAACTGGATTTGGTTCTAAGGGGAAATCAAAATTGCCTTTCTCTTCTCGCTCCCCGGTGGCACCTATAGTCTGGCTGCGGTCTGGGATGGAGACACCCGGGAGACACCCCCGGGAGACGGGATGAGTGTGTGTGAGTGTAACAGCTTATCTGGAGCACTGCTCTTCAAGGTACCACTTGCCCATGAGGAGATCCTTTGCTGCTCCGTTTCCCCACCTTTCCTGGGCCACCCCCTTCCTCCTCCTCACTTCCCAGCAGTGGCTCCTGTTGAAAGAGCCTGCCTTTGGGCTTTGCTTTAAAGCAAGGCTGAGGCCACGAGGATGGGACCAAACCTCACTTGCACAGGCATGCTGCAAAACGGAGGCACGTTTGGAGCCCAAAGGGTTGAGACTGAGCAGCCACGAGGCTTGGTGGCTTGTGATCAAGCGGCCAGAGCTGTTTCTTCCCCGCGCGTACGCATCAGCTTCCAGCGAGCATTCAGCAGCTGTTGTAAAAATACCGACCTTCCCAGTGACGCCCACCCGGTGTCCAGCTGGTCTCTCTCGAACTTCAGTTCCTTTGGACTCTCCACAAAGTCAAGACTGCTTCGTTCGCACCCTAAACGACCAAATTCCTTAAAAAACAAAAAGCCGGAAACCGAGTTGATGACACGGGGGAATAGGGCACTAATCCACCCAGAGGGAGAGTATTGGTTGTGTCCCCACAGAACTGGAATGTGCACACAGACCCCACCATGATGTGCCATACGCCGGCCCCCAGAAAATGAAAACAGATCATCTGGCTTGGGAAAGGAACTGACTTACCACACCCTGAAGGAAGCTGAAGCAAATGAAGGGGGAGGAAGGGAGCGGAGCACACCAGGGCCCACCAAGCTCAGAGGACAACAGCCCGGCTCCGAGGGCCCAATGCACAGAGAGGACCATATAGCCGGCCCCGCTGTGAGATGTGACATCCTGCACTGACCCATGGCCCTACACAGGACAGCACCGGAGACACAGTGTGCGATGTGTGACCGAGCTGACCCCACCACACTGAGGGCGTGCAATAGAGCGGCAGGGGAAGCAGAGCAAGGAGGTCCCGAGGGAGTATCAAGGATGGACTTTGGGGCCAAGGCATGGCACCCCATCAGACTCGTCTGGAAAACACTCCTAAAGGTCAACAAACAGACCCTGAACTATTAACAGGCTTTTCTTTCTTTTTTAAAATTTTATTATTTTTTTCTTTTAGATTTTGAAAAAAAAAGTCAAGTTCTGAACACCAAAGTATAGAAATGTAGAGGCGCCCACATGTGATGAAAGCACAGCACTCCCAGTCAGCCGAGGCTGGCACCCAGTGACCAGCCCCTCACAGCGCCAGCCATCCGGGGCTCCGCATCCTCCTCCTGGTCCAGCTGGAGCGAAGGATCCAAGGGGGACCGGGCGGGCGGCTCCCCACAAGTGCCTGCTCTGCTGCTCTGCTCACCTGCCTGCCCAGTGCAGGACAGACAGCAGGTCCAGATGTCAGCCAACATAGAAGTGAGGCTTACAGGTGGGCTCCCACCCTTCCCAAACCCCCAGGCTTCTTGGCATCAGGTCAGGATGCAGAGGATAGTGGAGGATACAACCCAAAGGCTAGAGGTGAAATGCTTTCTTTGGACGTATATTCGTCTGTGAGATACACATCCTGACTCAGTGAGAGGGTCTGAAACAGACTCTCAGTGACCTAACCGTATGAGCACGGATTGAGACTTCTAAGCAGTCACAGCGCTCACAGCTATGCCGTCTGGTCTGTGGGTAGGTCGGCCTCCAGCCTGAATCAGGGCGAATGCACAGAACCCACCACAGCATTGTCAACACCCTGGCTGCTGTATTCCACACCATGACCCCTGCCCCGGGAATACAGAAAAGGCACCCTCCCACTTCATTCTAGACAGTCTCAGATGCTTGCTCAGGTTCAGATGTTCCCCAGAACAAACCATTTGTGTCTGGACTTGGCAGTCAGGCACACAAGCAGACGACGATGAGAGCTGGAGGTCCATGGCTGCGCCGACCAGGCCACGTGAGCCCAGCCATGGACCATGGTGGTAGAGGATAACATGGCCCAAAAAACAAAACCAAGCTGCCCCAATAAAATGATTGAAAAACAAAAACAAACCCAAGCCGGACAGGGCAGAATAAAGGCAGTTCTTTCTATTGCATGGCAAAGGCTGATGACGTCACAGCCCCAAGAAGACAGCTTCCAAGCCATCCTGGGCCCCCCCCCTCCCCCACGCTGCATTCCAGGATCCTTGTTGCCATCAGGCTGGCTGAGGTTTATGGACCTCCACTTGTGGCTCTTCCTTTGCAGGGATCATCACCGTCTGAAAGAGCAGGAGGCTGATTAAGTACCATCCATCCACACCCCTGGCTTACTTAGAAGGGTGGCTCTGCCCCCCACCCCCACCCCACCCACCCTCCCCTTTCCTGGTGCTGCAACACTTCCCGTCTCCACCAGGTGGAGCCCAAAAGGATGCCCCAACCCGGGCCTCAACCAGGCAGGCTGCCTTACCTTAAGGATGGGCTGCTTAGGGGGTGCCCACGGGGGAACAATCTTGGCATGCATTCTCCAGTTCCCGTAGGGGTTCATCAGGTGCTTCTCAAACACAACATACTCGAGGACGTCCTTGGGCACATCTTCCTGTCCATACATCAGTCGCCCAAACCTGTCATAGATGGCCAGAGTCTGCCGGGAGGAAAGCACACAAAGCCTGAGTTCTCCGAGTTGGCTTGCTTGCTTGTTTCCCCAAACAATTAAGACACAATCATAACAAAACTTCTTAGCGGGTGAGAATCTCAGAATTCTGAATGGAGACTAACTGATCAGCTAGTGAATTAATCTTTTTCCTTAAAATTTTTTTTTTTCTTTCCTTTTTAAAAAAAAAAAGGGAATCGAGGAATTGCAGAGCCGGGAGCAGGGAGGGGAAGGAGAGCAGCCTCTAAGGTGCCTCAGTAGAGCTGGCATCTAGTGGTGGGAAGGGGGCAGTGACGGCAGGGTGAGCCATGGCCATCCCCCCTTCTGTCGGACCCACAGTCCTGTGCACTGGGACCCAGAGGTCCAGAGGGAAGCGCCCGCCCTGAGAGAGAAGATAAGCGTGCCCCTACCTGCCGGGTGTGCAGGCGCACAGTGATCTGGCCATACATATTGGTTTGGTTCACCATGCTTGAACAGCGCACTTGAACCACCCGGGGTGGGTTTAAAGACTCCACGAAGCTCCAGCGCACGGTCTTGTATTGGAGGTCACAGACCATATCCTAAGGGCAAGGAAGAACAAGTTTAGCTGGGGTTTCCCCTCCTTTTAGGAAGCTGGTCCTATCACATCTGCTCTTGCTTCTTGCAAGACCAGACCCAACACATAGCATTTCCCCCCAAATGTCTCCTAGTGCCTCTTTTCTCGCTCACCCTCTAAGGTTTGGGTTAAATGACTGCTCAAGTTCTGCTGGAACATACCTCCTGGCAACTCTCTTTTCAGCTAAATCTCCAAATAAACGAACAGTAGACTCTGAACAGCCAGCTCACCACTAAACTCTGGAGTACTGCTATCATCTGCTCATGACTGCATGTATTTCTCTGGGCTGCACGTATGTGCGTTACATTCCTCACCTTTTAGTAGTGAAGGGGGGAACTGTACGGGCAGATGAAGGCCAAACTGCTAAGACCAGGTGAGCTGTACTTGTTCCTGGGCGAGCAGGCTGAAACGGATGATTCTGGCACTATCATCTACACCACAGTGTCCTCCTTCTTAGCTGCCTCTCTGGAGTACCTGGCACCACAGTCAGCATGCACTAGGGGCCACAGGGGTTCGTGGGAAGTACTATGACTTCCCATGTGGGTCAGGCCTCAAAAACCACCTCATATTCACAGCCACTGAGTCCATGCCGACTCACAGCGACCCTGTGGGACAGAGTGGAACTGCCCCTTGAGTTTCTGAGCCTCTTTACAGGAGTAGAAAGTCCCATCTTTTTCTCGCAGAGCATCTGGTGGTTTTGAACTTCGGGCCTTGTGGATCACAGCCCAATTCATAACCACTGTGCCTGCAGGACTCTTTGGGTTAGTCTGAACGTATCCTGTGTGCACCCTCAGAATCTGCACCCTGGGGTTTCAGGCCTGCTTGAATGGCGGACTTCTTTTTCCCCTGTTGGCCAGGCCTCCTACCAGAGTGTGTGCCAAGTCCCATTAAATAATGGAACCTAAACTTGGGCCTGGAACTTTCTGCATTCTTCAAAATGGATCCTTCCTAAGCAAACCAAAAGCGCTATCTAGAATCTGCCCACTCAGGCACCCCACAGTTCTATGAGAGATGAGAACCTACCGGAAAACAGTGTTCAGTGACCAAGGTATGGAGTCGATCATGGTCTGAACTGGAAAAGAGAGTGAGAGACACAGTTCATTGACTCCTGCGCTTTTAGGATGCCGTGTAGAGAAGTTGAACATGGCCTTAAGAGCTGATAACAATTCAATTCTGTTTTTAAAATGTTCTCAGCATGCCTGCTATAAAAGCTAAATGATGTGCTAAGTGCTGGCGAGAGAGAGACACGAACAGTAACATGACTCATCAGGAAACCTTAAGATCTAACAGCAGAGTAATGTTATTCTTGAGTCTCAGGAACAGAAAGCAATTTCTCTGTCATTACCATAGATCCCTAAGGTGGGCAAGAGCTCCTCACTGGGACACAGGATTGGCTTTCGCTGTATACTGATGAGGCAACGAAGTCCAATACAAATAACCACCGAGGGGGTGCCTCGGTTGATCTCCTCTATCTGTGGCACACCATCAGCACCAGGACCAACCAGCTTGGCACTGGCTCACTCTATCTTAGCAAGATGATCTCACAATGATACCTCTGAAGCCACCAAAAACATAGTCAGCCATCTCTCTGGTCATTTCTTTCTTCCCCCACATCTTTGTTTCTACCAGAGTGACCTAGTCACACTGCCCTAATGCAATTACAGTTACAAAGCAAACAGCAAACCCCAGCTCCTAAAGATACCTGATTTCAGGAGGGCTCTTCAACCTAAAGACCACAGACTAGATTCTTGCAGACACACACAGGATCCCACCCCCCCACCCCTACCCCCGTCCCCCATTGATTTAATATTTCCTGGACAGTGTAGCTCTTTGTCCCCTTTGAAAAAAATCTCAACTCTAATTCAAGAGTGGATAAGATAGGAGTTACAGCCTGCCCATCTGCTTCACGTTCACCTCTATCTCTAATAACAAAGACTCCAAGTCACTTCCCGCACTGTAGCTCTCGACTCGAACAGACTGAGCTGCAGTGACAGCTACCATGATCGTGGCTGGCCCCTCTGAAGGGACCCTTGCCTCCTCACCATCTAGGCTTAGGAATCTTCTGCAGAAAATAAAATTCCCCTTTCTCTGAGTTCATCGACTGTGTTGCAGTCGAACTTTTCCAGAGAAAGAAATGAAGACATCTGCTCTGAAGTGAAACCATCCCACCACGACCATTTAGAAGTGTCGCGTCAGACATAACCACACACGCTCTTTCAGCTACTCTCACCTCATTCACAAGAGAGCAAGGTCTATCCCCAAATCCCATGGAGGAGAGAGGAAGCTCAAAGGCCACCCAGAAAGCATGCAAAGTGATGTCACAAGGCTGAGGGACATTTAAGGGATGCAGAAACAAGACCCAATGAAGCTGGAGCACCTCTCTTCCTGGATCCCTGAACCATTGGGGCAACCAAGATCTGGACCACTGACCTGCATGGACCTCTGCCCTGCAACGGGTTGCAACTGCAGAAAAGGAGCCTGAAAAATAACCTACACCTGGGTCGGAGGGGAGTGAGCACTGGAACGGAGATGATCACACAACTCATTTGAAAGGCAATTTAGAGCTGATACCAAGGGCTCAATGGAAAGTAAATGTTTAGAAAACAATGATGGCCACATATGTACAAATATGCTTGATACAATGGATGTATAGATTGTTAGAAGAGCTGTCAGAGCCCCCAATAAAATCTTTTGATAATAAAGAAAATAACAATAAAGAAAGGCGATTTAACCATGGGGGGCAATGTTCTGAAATTGACAGACTGTACAAGTCTTCTTAATATGATTGAACTACTGAATTGTGTGATGTGTGGATTAAGTGTCAATAAAACTGTTAAAAAAAGCGAGGAGCTGATGCTAAGGTGGAGAGCAAGTGTTTTGAGAATGATGAGGGCAATGAATGTACAAATGTGCTTGACACAACTGATGCATGCATGGGTTGTGATGAGTTGTATGAGTTCCTAATAAAATGATTAAAAAAAAAATAATAATAATAATTTATAGACTGGAAAACAGTCCTAAAGGCCAACAAACAGTACTGGAACTAACTACAAAAAAAAAAAATAATAATAACAATTTATAAATTACCAAGGGTTCATGAGGGAGGGAAAAAAATGAGGAGCTGATACCAAGGGCTCAAGCAGAAAGCAAATGTTTTGAGATGATGATGGCCACAAATGTACAAATGTGCTTGACACGATGGATGGATGTATGGACTGTGATAAAAGAGTTGTACGAGCCCCAATAAAACGATTAAAAAAGAACAATAAACTCTCATGACAGCCACTGAAAGCAGCGCTCACTCATCTGTACCAAAAAATAGGCAAGACAGCTACATGGTCAACCGACCAGAAGCGATCCCTCTGTGCCCAGTCCAAAGGAAGGTGATCCTACATGCAGGAATGATTGAAAAATTATAATTACTATCGTATGTAAATATGATTTTGTTGGAGTGTTACAGCAAGACATTGACAGGGAACTGCCAGAAATTCAAGTCAGGCTCAAAGAGGGTACAGGACAAGGGATATCATTGCTGATAATCAAAGAATCAAAAACCATTTTGGATAATATTGCAAAGAAGGGAACATTTCATTGTGCTCGTGTAGAACCCACACACAGACCAAGAAGCAGCTGACAGGTCTGCTCCCAGGAAGGTCCACAGCCTCCCTCAGCAACTGCTCCACAGAGTCGCTGTGCATCGAAAAGAATTCAATGGCACTGGGTTTGGTTTGGTTTCGGTTTTCTTGCTTCATGAACGATGTCCCTGATGTCATCCCACAACTCATCCAACTCATATGGCCTTTGGCCATCAGTGTTCAACACATCAAGTCAATTCTGTGATGGTCTCTAAATCCAGGTGGGACAAGCTTAAGGTCCTACTTTGTGTCTCATGGACTTTTTTTCAGCTTCAACCTGAACTTACACGTGAATCATTGCGAGTCCATTCCACCGCTGGTTCCTGGCCTGGTTTCAGCTACTGGTACTGAGCTTCCCCCCAGATGTCGTCCATTTGATTGCTGTGTCTTTCCTCTGCTAAGTGCACAGCTATGGCTTATGTTGTTGACAGGGGCATCTACAATGTTGGTCTTGCAAAATTCTGTCATGCACTCTCAAGCTTCCCAACACCAGCGTTATATTTTCCAACTAGGGATCCTTCTTTGCTTCCAACTTTTGCATTCCAAGTGCTGGCTATTCTCAATGCATCTTGATTGCATGTGTGAATCCATTTCAGACTAAAGAAACTGGTAGAATTTCATCATCATTGGACTTAGTTGTTGTGCAAATTTGGATATTTATTAACTGGAATTCCTTGTAAGCTTAGTTATTAGCCTGTCACAGACAGCAGGTGTTCTTCATGATAGATCTTGAATTACTCTTTGATGATGAGAGGGAATTCATTTCTCTTGAATTTTTCATTTCTGGCATACTAAACCATTTTATTTTTACTAACACTGTAATTCCGAGGCATCAATAATTCTTCAATCTTCCTTACTCGTTGTCTACTTTCTGAAGCAACAGAAAATACCGTGGCTTGGGCCAGGCAACCTCAATATGACATCTCTACTTTAAATACTTGAAAGAAAGGGCTCTTTGTACAGATCTGCCCCATGATATACATCATTTGAATTTTTGACAGCTGCTTCCCTGAGTATTGAAATCAAATGATAGATTGTATTAGGCAAATCTGCTGCACAGCATTACAGAGCAAAGATGTCACTTTGCAGACTAAGGTAAACCTGTTCCACACCATTATATTTTCAATTGTCTCACATGTGAACTTTGTAACGTATCCTGATAAACTATACTGAGCATTTCTCACCGGTATCACAATTTAACTTCCTTCATAAGCCTTTAGTCGTGAATTTTGTCTGAGCTTTGAGTAGCTGTTGCAATGGATATTAGATAACACAACAACAACTACAAGAACAGAAACAGAATGTATTATTTCCAAACAAGTAGAGGGGATAAAAAGGGAAGAAGGAAATTACATCAATCCCACAAATGGAAAAAGTACAGATAGAACACATAAAATAATGTGAGAAAAAAAAAATTAATCAAAAAAACCCAAACATACAAAACGCAACAACAATACACAAACATACACAAAGGACACACATAGTGAAATCAATCCTGTAGGAAAGCAAAACACGCAGAACAACGCTATGTACTGTTCAGAAACACACACACAACAGAAGCACACAATTACGTGAGGACGACACTGAAGGCAGCGGCTCTCTCTCGGGAGGGAAGTGGGGCTTTAGAGCTCTCTGTAATGCTTCATCCCCCCCCCCACCGGTTGCAAATTAAGGTTTTTAAGCAAATATGGAAAAATGTCAACAGTTAACATAGATATTATATTTTCTATCATGTGTGAATCATTTCATAATTAACTATAGTTTTAAAAAGAAATCATGGATGGAGTCTAACTTTGGGTCCTAGCAGAGTTCAAAGAATGTCAACAACAGTCTAAGGACTTAAGACCATTCTTGGCAAATTTCTCATCTCTGTAGCACTTCTGATTTTAATTCCCTTGGCTGAAGGAGGGTAAAGTTAAGACTTTTTTTTTTTTCTAAGATGCTTATCCAAAATAACTGACTGAAGGGAGATGTGTGAGGAGGGCTTCAAAAAGTTCATGGGAAAAGTCGAATAACAACTTCCAGAAGCTAGAAGGAAAGCTAAGGAGAGCTTCAGTCACTAATTATTGCCCACATAGAAAGTTCTCTTACAGTAGGACTCTTACCTGAAAAAGCAAACAAAAAAAAACCTTGTTGCTGAGAGCAGAATGGGCACAAATGAGGGAGTCCACTTACTTGTTTAGGCAAAGATGAGCCTCAGTGAAGATGTGCTGAGCTTTTTCAGGGAAGTCCTTTATTACAAAATTCCCATCATGTTCCCTAATTTTCCGGATTCTGTAAAATGAAGCATGAGATTGTAAGGCTTAATAGAGTTTCCTAAGAACCAAAGTTCCCCTATGCTTGCTCCTGAGCCCACCCTATAAAAGCTCTGTCCCAAGGCCTTTATCAGAAACCAGTGAACCACAGAGGAACCCGTGAACCACAAGCGATGGTGACCAAAAATGCCTATCTGGAGCTCACATGATGCTGATTGATCAAGATCTCAGCCTGTAGTTTCCAGCCCAGAGGGGCCAAGCCCATTCCTCAATTCTGTACAGTACATAAGGGGACTAGTACCTGAGCTCTGGGCTGATGCATAGTATACCCACAGCCTGTCTGCACCCAGGCGAGAAAGAAACTTTGCTGTTGGTAACCCAACCTGGCCTCTTGACTGAATTGAGTCTCTTCTCTCGACCTTACAGAGATGGCACGGATTTGGAGGGCATTATCTGAGTGGAAATAGTCAATCACCAAAGGCAACTGCTTATGAGACCACCATTTGTTTGTTTGTTTTTAATTAAGGTAGAGGTTTTCATACTAGAAGAAACAGACTTTGACGGTTCCCTGGGTAGGAGGGGACAGAAGGGAAAATAACAGGCTATAGGGTAGACAGGTGTTGAAGGAAAGACAGTAAGAGAAGAGGGGAGTGGGGAGGTGGGAAGGAGTGGGCAGGACAAGCTATGGAGAGGGTTGCTAAGTCGTTCAAGTTGTTGTCTACAAAAATGACCTAATATGTAAACGCCCACTTGATTCGCAATAAAAAGTCTTTTAAAACATCAAGATTTTTCAGTTTAAAACCAAAAACAAACTGCCATCGAGCTAATTCTGACTCCTAGCTACCCTACAAGGCAGGTGGAACTGCTCCTGTGAGTTTCTGAGACTACAACTCTTTACCGGAGAATAAAGTCCTGTCTTTCTCCCTCGGAGCTGGCTGGTGGTTTCAAACTGCTGACTTTACGGATCACAGCCCAGTGCGTCAGCACTATACTCTTGCTATTAGTTGCCGTCAGGCTGGTTGTGGCTCAAAGTGACCCTATGAGCAGAAGGCAGCACCCCCTGGCCTGTGCCATGCTCACGGCGCTGTCACGTGGGAGCCCACGGTGCAGCCACTGGGTCAAGACACTTGGTTGAGGGCCTTCTCTTTTTTGCTGACCCTTCTTTCTGCCCAATTATTCAATCATTTTTGAAGTGTGTCAAGTCCTATAAATCCAGCCTTCTATCTTAAGTCAACCATTTTTAAGAACAAAGCCCCTCATAGGAAACTTCTGAATTCTAAAACTAAAGAAAACATCTTACAAGGATTAAGCAAGAAAAATTTGCTTCGTACAAAGGAATCATCATCAGAATGGCTGTGGGCTTCTAGATAGCAAAAGCAGACAGTAGAAAGACAATGAAGTCGGACAGAGAGGCTTTTAGTTGAGGGGGCAAAAGTCTCTAAATCAGAATTCTCTGTCTGGGAAAAATAAGTCCAATGAGATTCATTTTCAGACTTCGACAATCTCATTTCCACAGCCATCCTTGTCTCCTAGCTACCCCAATCCCTTCTCCCTCCTGTAGCCAGAAAAAGGTTTTCAAATATCAAATCTTACCAATTCCTTCATCTAAACTGTTGTCCATTGCCTTCTAGGTAAAGCTTACATCGTTAGTACGGCCCCGCCTATTTGCCAGATCACTTTGATTGCACTCCAGCCACATTGGCTCTTTTCTTCTGCACTTTGAATTTACTTTTAATACTGGCTTTTCTGATCCTTGAATTTGCCGAGCATTTTGGCAAGCTTCAGAGCGTCTGCTAATATGGTTCTCTCTCTGGCTTTTGCTCCTACCTCCTCCACCCAGTTAATGCCAAACAATCCTTTCGGTTCCAGCTTTTCTTGCCATTTCCCCAGGGAAGCCTTCCCTGACCTCCAGACCAAGCTATGCTTCCTGTCACATACGCTCATCGCACGCCTGCCTTCCTGTCCTTGTAATCATTTCACTGCGTGTCATCGGCATTTAATGATTATTTTCCTCACCCAAGCGGTAACTCGACGATAAAACCACCGTGGGAAATGTCACCAAAGAGCTCAAAGTCCAGAAGGAGAGAAATAAATGAAAGACAAGCACTGTGGAACAGAGCTATTAGTCGGCATAAAGAAAAGTTAGAGACCACCCCCAACACAAGCAAAAGAAGGCTTGGACAATAGACAGGACGATTGGCCTGAGTCTCAAAGAGTACACAGGAGTCACCTGGGAAAGAAGCGAGGAGGACAGTTATAAGCAAAGGAGAGGATGTGCACGGCTCAGCACAGTCAAGAACTTGTGATTAGCTTAGAAGGGCTGAAGTTGGGGGAGGGAAGGGGAAGAAATGGGGAGCTGATATCAGGGGCTCAAGTGGGGAAAAATCCTTTGAAAATGATGATGGTGTGAAAATGTGCTTGATGCACTGGATGAATGTATGGATTGTGATGAGATGTAAAAGCCCCCAATAAAAGGATTTTTAAAATAACAAAAATAAAAATAAATAAAGGCTGAAGTTTATGGTGAGAAAAAGAACACCAAGGGGTGGAAAGTGGTGGAGGGAAAGGCAAGGACCAGATTGAGAAGCCCTGAATGCCACCAAAGAAACAGGGAGTTTATCAAACACATATGGACACATGCGGTTCAACGAACTAATGGGTCATGCAAACATCAATCTCCACTACACAGACCAAAAGAACCAGAGGCTGCCCAGCTCTAAACAGAACTGAACCAGGTGGTCCTAGATAGAATGGGAGAAAACGCTAAACAAAAAAAACCCCAATCCTAAAAGATACCACACTTCCTAGAGTCCATAGAGATTGGTGAAACCCCACCCCCACCAAGACTACAGTCCTTAGTCGCCCCCTTCAGATCTGAACTCACCCCGTGTTAGAATAATCTGTCCCTTAAAAACAAAAGGGCAGCACTGCCCCAAGGTCAAAGTCCTTCGGGATAGAAGAGGAGGAATGGAAACAAGGGACAGAGAGAGGAAGTGGGATGAGTGATTAAGGGGAAGGCAGTGGATAAACTGAAACAAAATGTATACGAACTATTAAATGTAAGATCGATAATCTGCTGTGTAAACCTCCACCTAATTCACAATAGAAAATAAAAACAAGAAAACAGGGAGCCAAAGAGTTTTAAGCAGAGAAGGCAAAATGATGAGATCTGTATTTAAAGAAACTAAGGCCCCATGAAGAACTAACATTGGCTCAATATGACTTATGCACTTAAGCCTCTTCTAATCAACCTGGAAGAACCTATGTTTCAGATATACTCAGAGCGAGAGTGGAGACTACTAAGCATCTTTGTCCTTTCACCTAAATAACAAAAGGAGGTTCAAGTTTATACCCTTTAAAGCCTAGTTACCAGGCTAGAGCAGACCTGTCTTGACCTCTTTTGGCTTTTCTCAGTCTCTGAAAGTTACTCTCTAAGGTACTTCTGGATGTTCTCTTTCGTTATTTAAAACATTAAGCTACATGACCAGAAAAGGGTCCTATGCGCTCCAAATTGCCAATGAAGACAGAGAAGCAAAGTGTCAAGACACCCACATTGTTCTGCATGAAACAGACTGTTATAAAGAAAGAAAATACTGCCAAATGATCGAGAGGCCGATGCCAACCCAAGCTACTTAAGAGGAACTCCCTGAGATAAAGGAGCAGTGAGAAGTTTTTATTTTAACATCCACTCCCAGCTGTGTCTGGATACCTACGACAACTGCGATGCCACATTCTTCTTCAATTGTTCAGCTTTCTGTTTCAGTCCTTCCTTTGAAAACGAGGACATGCGTAAATCACCCTCAGGAGGAACATAGGCATCAAAAATACCACCTGGAACAAGAAAAGGGAAAAGCAAAAGAGGCACGTGAGCAAAGGCTGAGAAAAAGTCACCTTGGGGCCACTAGGAAGGATCCTGGCTATACAAGGAACGAAGGAAACACGCTTATGGGAAACTTGTTACAAAGAAAAAGAGGAAAAGTCGAGGCTTCTCTCAGAGGCTCCGTTTCCATGTCCACAAAATGGGGAGGTTCCATCTTTGCCTTCTGGGAACAATGAAAACAAGATCAACGAGGACTTCAACATATGGCGCACATAAAGTCCATCACGGTTGCGGCTGAACTGATGTCGTGGAGAATTACATGCTGTGAATCCCAGTCCACATCATTCCACTTCCCGGCAGATCGCTGACAGAGGGGATTTAATCAGGGCTCCAGAACTACCCTCTCACCTGTACAGGCCACGGTTATGGGTCGCTCCAATCGTTCCGGAGGAATGACCAATCCTGCTTTCCGGGCATGTTCCAAAAACTCTTTCTGTGATTTGTAGTTAGGTTTATAAATGGGAGGTGTAAAACGCTTTTTCGTTCTCACTGGAACTACAGTTACGGGCTGAGTCCCCAGGGCTGGCTGGAAGACAAGGGTATAGGTAAAATAATCTGGGGGGCGAGGAGAGGGACCTATCGTAGGCAAACTCTAAGCGAAGCCCTTCAGGAAGGGTACACTCACATAATGTACATACGACATAGGAACAATGATAAAACCACGCATGACGGGGAAAACGCACCATGGGAGGGTCTAAACATTTCTGTGTGCCTCTATGAGCAACCGAGCAGCCGATGTGCAACCTTTTCAGCTAACGTAACTCAACCCTGACCAAGTCTTCTATACAGGTCTCTATAGAGTTTCTCTATGCTAACCCCTATGGGTGCAAAGTTGATGAAGGCAAGGTTTCTGCTTTCAATGAGGTTTAGTAGTAGAGAAGAAAACATCAACTCAATACTGAAACGGGAGCAGCAGTAAGATCCTCCGGCTTGTCCTTCCTCCCAGAGCCCGATGCCCTCGTCGTTCTAGCTCCCAAATAGCCCATCAACTCGTTCAAGGTGGGCGACTGCTCCTCCCTGACGGTGAGGTCTGCTCAGACGGGCACCGCGACCACCTCCGACCCTGCTGCCACACGACTACTCGAACGTCATCCACTCACCAAGAATCAAGGGGAGCCTCCGCCAACCCGAAACCAAACCAACGGGAGGCCCTGGCCTCCCTCAGGGCCCCCGACTTTTCCTAACGCGCCCGCCCATCTCCCCGAGGACAACGGCGGACCGTTACTCCCCTCTGCGTGGCCTCCCCTACAGCCCGCGGGCTTCTATCCCCCCAGCCAAACCCCTACCCACCTGCCGCGACCAACAGCCCAGAGCCCTGGACAAGCAGGCCAAGCCCCGCCGCACGGGGGCCACCATCTTGCTCGCGCAAAGGCCGCCGGGATGGGGCTGGGCGTGCGGAGCCCGGGAACGGAGGGAGGAGCTCGCGCCGGAGTGGAATTTTCCAGGGCGCGCACCCTCCGCTCAACTGTGCGCGGCGCGGACGCGCACGTGCGCGTGCAAGGAGGCGGGGGCTGGCCTACGCGTGCGTAGTAAGACGGCGTTGGGGGAGGGGGGAAGGCACGGCGGTCACGCGCCAGGAACTTTGCCCCAAAGAGCTAGCGCGTGAGCTGCGCCTGCGCAGGGGGTTCTCCGCGCGCCGTGGTGCCTGCCTTCCTCCAGGCTTGGCATTTGGGGTATAAATTAAGCGCTCTGAGACAGGTGCTTTTTCGTCAGCGCCTAGAGTAAGTTAGAAGTAGCGCCATCCCACGAAGGGCAAGAATGCATAGTTTTGGAGTCCTCATCAGACTTCGCTACAGAGGACCTTAGTGGCGCTGTAGCTTAAGCTTTGGACAGCTAACTTCAAGTTAAGCAGTTCAAACCCACCAGTGGCTCCCTGGAAGAAAAACGAGGCTTCCAGTATAAAGATGTACAGCCTCAGAAACTCCGTAAAGGGTCGCTATGAGTAGGAATCCCCAGGGCCTACTTAGTTACCTGTCCAACAGGGTTACCGGGAGTCCGGATTGACTGAACAGCATGCTTTTCAACAGACTCAGAAGGGTTTTCTGACAAAAACATTTCTGGCCTTGACATTTTTAAAAAAATTAAGAATATATACATATAAATTTACTAGTAATTTAGAGTCCCCGCTGGTACCAATGGTTAAGTGCTGGACTACTACCTGAAAAGTTCTGCCGGGTGCAGCCATGGCCAATGAAGTGACACTGAACAGATTAGAATTTTAAAGTGTGGGCGGATTGGAACAGGAGAAGCTACAGGTCGAAGCCCTGCAGAGCAGCTGTCTATCCTGATGGACCGAGTCCAAAACAAAGATGCCCTAGCTGCTTTGAGTGTGTGTCACTCCACAGTCTCTGCAATAACCTGAAGTCTTGCATCAGGCTCTGCACGTCTCTCAGATTCTCAACTCCAGAACTTCCGCCCACAGCGTTTCTGGTTTGCATCCACATCACTCAAACCTGAAACATCTGGGTCTCTTCTAGTTTCCCTTTGTTGGCCGTGACTGAACCGGTTCACAACCATCCAGAGGTACCTCAGAAGTAACACTTGACAATCTGCTCCTGAAAGGTCATTGCCTGGAAAATTTCTATGGAGCCCCTTCTTCTCTGCACATAGGAGGTTGCTGCACGGATGTGATGCCCTGGACAGCAATGGACAACAACACTAATAGCTTAATCAGAATCCATTCGATGGCGATCGTATATACACAACATGTTTGCTACATGCCAGGCAGCTTCTTTATATTAACTCAGTTCATCTTTACCTAATCCTTTTACAAACAAGAACAATATTCCTAATATCCATAGGTGGTGGGACCACAGAGAAATTAAGTACAGAATGGATCAACGGTCACACGACTAATAACAAGAAAAAATGGGATCTAAATCTAAGTAGTCTCATATCAGGACCCAAGCACTTAGCCACCATGTTTGTTGTGCTTCCTGATAATCAGTAAATACTTCGTGATGTTGGGATCATCTTGGAAAATATGTTACTATAATTCAGTATTGCTGAATACTTTCAAACCTGTTGGTTATTATTTTATTTTCATAATTAATGTTTATTAAGCACTTAGGGTATTTTGCAGTGAATTTTGGAGCTATACATTCAAAAGCTGATAGGATGGAGTAGTATTGCTAAAGAAGAGTCACATTAGTGCTAGGGACCATCAAAGCAAGGAGATAAAATTGCAAGGGGTGTCAATATCATATGCATTCTGAGATTAATTATAAGAAGGCTTTTTCTTTTAATTAGTTGCTCTTTTGGAAATTTTATTATCCTCCTACCTCATTAGTTCCACAGATAATTGGAAGCTGACTGCTGGGAAAGTAACAGGGGGAAAAAAAAGGATATTTCTTAATCCTACAGTTCTGATAATTCACATTTCAAAAAAAAGGAAAAAAATTAAAGGGATGTTTCCTTGGTGATGTGAACACGCTCGTGCGATTGGAGGGAGAAATAATGTGGTTATGGGCTCAGCCACGCAAGGAAGACTTACAAGTGGTAGACATTCAGACTTTCTGATTTTTAAAAAACAAGGTATTTCTGGATCTAAAGAAACCCTAGGGGAAAAAAACAAGAACAAAATAAAATAAAGAAACCCTAGGACAACGGTTCTCAACCCCTTTGGGGGCCGAACGACCCTTTCACAGGGGTCGCCCGATTCATAACAGTAGCAAAATTACACTGATGAAGTAGCAACGAAAATAATGTTATGGTTGGGGGGGTCACCCCACATGAGGACTGTATGAAAGCATTGTGGCCTTAGGAAGGTTGAGAACCTCTGCTCTAGGAGGATGGGACTGCGTGTGGACAATCGGACATGAACTTGCTGTTTCCTCTCTTCCACGAGGCAGGGGAAGGGGCCCTGGTGGCTCAGTGGGTGGACAGGGAAGCTGCTAACTGCAAGGTCAGTCCTTTGAAACTTCCAGCTGCTCCATGGGAGAAGGCTCAGGCTTTCTGCTCCTGTAAAGAAACCCAATTGGGTCGTTCTACCCTGTCCTATTTGGTTGCTCTGGTCAGAATTGACTGGACCCACTGTATGTTTGAGCTCGAGTGAGTGGCAGATGACGGATGTCAAAGATGGAAAGTTCGGAAATGCTGCCTAGTAACCGGCACTCTAGGAGAAGCCCAGTTGATTTGAGCAAGGAAAATTCGTGCAGATAATCGTTAGAATCAGACTCTAAACAGCATGATCCTAGGAATAATAGACTTGTTGCATGTTTATATGAACACGGGAAGTGAGAAAGCCTGGAAGGCTTAGAGGCGACCTTCCAAGCAAAGGGAACACAGAAGAAACCCCAGGCTTCGAGCTGACCTTTAGCCAACAACAGTGGCGGAGCTTCTGTGTTGACTACCTATGGCTCTCACATGTGCAAGTTAGTGCCTGAGTTCACATCTAAGGGCCACCTCTTCACCTAAAGGAAAGAGGTGATTAAGTCCACAACTAATGGAGTTGTTATTCATTCCTTAACATGTTAATGGATAGTCCCACCCTGGTCCATGATGGCCCCTGCCTCCAAGGCCCACGTTAGCCCTGGGAGGACTGTACAGAGCCTAACAGAACCAAGCCAGTCCGACTCCTGGTGCTGGATGCCCATAACATGACGACCCAAAGAACTGGCATCCCTAAGCAAGAAGGATCCCAACCTGGGTTTGAGTGGGAAACCTTCTGGAAGTCTTGCACGGTCCCTCTCTAGGGTCTCCCCTAGAGAGCAGTTCTCACCTGTGGAAGCTAAGAGCACTGGATGCAAGTTATTCCCAAGCCCCAAAGCAAATCTTTATTCTTGGGCTGTACCTCTTTCTCACCTGTCCTTCCACTTATCCCTGCTGCTGTGGGACAAAGCCCTTTCCTTTGCCCCTTCCAATGGCCCCTAGACTCTTTTTTATAAAGGGGAAGTTTCAAATATTCGTAGAAAAGCCTCCCCACTTCCTGCCCCCTCTCCCCCATCCGTATGCTCAGCGAGAGAGATTTGCTGCTCATCATGGCTCAGCTAGAAAAGGTAGGTTTACCATAAATCCCTCTCCTCTTTGTACTCCGCTGTTGCCCCAGCTCACAAAATCAAGCCATAATCCTAAAGGGAATTTTAGGCTATTTGCAACTCCTCATCACCCACACCCACCACCCACCCCCTCCCCCAAATCATGTTTAGGAAGGAGACAGTCAGTAAAGCCGCTGGATCAGAGTAATCTGTTTCTAACCCACTTCTACTCCCAGGGATTGACCTCTGCAGGGGGCGGGACACAGGAACAAATCTGAGGGCTGAGACCTTGGGGAGAAGTGGCTGGAGGGCTGTGGGTATAGGGATCTCACTTGCTGGGCTACACTCTCCAAGGGCCCGTGAACTTAAAAAGTTATCCCCAGCTTTGATAGTAATAGTCACTCAATAAATTTGTTTGCAAAATAATGAAAAGCATATAATCAGAAAGCAAGCTCACGAGTTAATACTGACTCATAGTGACCCGACAGGACAGGGTAGAACTGCCCTGTGAGTTTCCAAGGCTGTCACTGTTTATGGGAGTACAAAGCCCTGTCCTCCTCCCTTGGCAACTGGTGGTTTTGAACTGTCAACCTTGCTAACCAAAGCCCAACATGTAACCACTACACCACCAGGGCTCTCTGGAAAGAGTATAGAGTATGAGAAAACAAGGAATGGGCTATACCTGTAACCTTCATTTACCCTTATATGCAAATTAATTTAGGGCTAATTGATTTGTTGATAAATAAGACAGTAGGCTATAGTGGAAAGAGCTCTGGATAGGGAGACCAGGGTTCCAGTCCCAGCATTGTTGACACTAGCTTGCTCTGTGGCTTTAGGCAAATCACTTAGCATCTCTAATTTCCTCCCTGGAGCCACCCCTCACACACACACACACACAAAAGCCCTCTATAACAGCAGTTCTCAATCTGTGGGTCACAACCCCTTTGGAGGTCACCACCCCTTTGGGGATCAAATGACCATTCCACGGGGGATGAAGCAGCAACGAAAATAATGTTATGGTTGGAGGGTCACCACCACATGAGAAACTGTATGAAAGGGTCGAGGCATGAGGAAGGTTGAGAGTAAGTGCCCAGAACTGCTCTGTAGCCTTACAAAAACCTACACTGTCTAATGATGTGTACCGAGCTCCTGTTAACACCGCACAAAGGTGTGTGTCGACAGTGGCTGTCTGCTGCAACAGAAATCCCACGAGGGAGTGTCTTCAACAACCAGCCTTCTTTTTTCTCACAGTTTAGGAAACTAGACGTCTGAATTCAGGGCACCGGTTCTAGGACGGGGCTTTCTCTCTCTGTCAGCTCTGGAAAAAGGCCCCTGTTCCCTGGCTCCGCATGTACCTCCCTTCATCTCTGCTGCTTAATCTGCTCACTGTACATCTTGTAAGAC